CCCTCCCACAGCAATAAAACGGTCCCCAAGAAATATGTGCATTGCTTCGTCGTCCTGACAACAAGTAATTCGGCCTTTTTACGCCACTTTCCAGCTAGGGACGAGGAGTGGACCAAGTTGGACAACGTTAGTTGGGGGGGGGGGGGGGGGGAGGGGGGGGGAGTGGCAATCTCCATCCAAATGTGTGACCAAAGTTCCGTTGAGGTGCTTTTTCACAGCCAAAAACACAGGAGTGCAGAGCGTGGAGAGAGGATGGGAAATGAGCAGAAATTGACTAAAGCAGAAGCTATGCTCACTTCATGCCACCCCCCCCCTCGCTGAGTCAGACGATGTTTTTATGCCTCATGCTCCACACTCCTCCACTTTGAGTACTTCCTACAGGGTTTTGTGTGCTTGCTTACTCCTCTCAACTGGCATACTCAATGTACCTTAATAAACACTAATTTCGATCGCGCCTTGTGCAATGAGTAAATAAACCCCTCACAACGGTCTGAAAGCAACTGATGAGCATCAAACAGATAGGGAAAATGGCGCGTCACTTACGGCTTCTTGCAGTTCCTTCTGCCTCTTGGCTGAAAGCGCATCCTCGCCTGAGTAGAGACTGTAGGAAGGACTCTGCTCCTCCTAAGAAAAAGAAGGCAAAAATTGAGTGACTTATCGTCTTCCATCACAAAAATTTAATTGCAAAGGCTAGAGAGCACCACAATATTTTGCCATAGGAGAACTCGATGCAATTAATGATCAGAAGAGGGGATTGTAATAGACTTACCTCCACGTGGTGCACTCTGGGCAACGTATACCCCTCATACGGCAAAAAAGTCTATTGATCGGCAGTTGACTTCTCACTTCAAACTACTATGGCCCGACTGTTTGTCATATTCTACCACTTTCACAGTACTCATCTTACCTTTTCTCTGCCTTTGTGTCTCTCTGTCTGTCTCTTTTACATCTGTGAATCACTTTGTTGTTTCTTCTCCTCTCTGTGAAGCCCGAAGTCAGTTAAAGGGCTAATGATAACTATCATAACGCCTGCCATTTTTTATATAAATAAATAAACAGAAGAGTTTTTGTGGTCAAAAATAAATGGGGAAAAGAATTGACTGGAGACAATATCAAATGTAGGCGGCAACTCACCTCGAATTTCTTGAGAATTGCGGAATCGGTGTCTGAAAACGAAGAGGAAAATTGAAATTAGTTTTTGCGGTAGGAGGTGTACTACCCCCACCCCCCACCCCCTCTCTCTTTTTTGTCATTGAGACGACTTTGACGGCGACAAACAGAATGCCTCTTGACATAAGGCCAGAAAGGAGAATGATGGCTTTATTCTCCCCTCCCCCAATTTCGCCTAACATTTAAATTAAAACTAGTTGATTTTTTCCCATTGATGCGAAATTTGAACTATTTGAAGTGTATTAGGGCCCTTAGGCTTGATGTGTTGAAATATACTACTAATTATAAATTGGCTGATAAAAAAAAGAAGCCAGTAGGGATAATTTAAAAGTAATTTGGCCCTAATCGGAAGAAATCGATACTCTAATTGAGAAATTCGGTCGTATTTATGAGTAGACATATTTGAGTCCGTTTTTTAATTCCAATTTAACCTGAATGCACCCCTCTGCGTCGCGGACGCATTGGCGACTGTGTGTATGTGTGTGTGTGTGTGACACGTCGAATGTCACAGGTTCGATTCCCGTCGGTGATGGTGAAATGAGCGGAATGAACAAATACGCTGCTAAAGTCTGGCTAATTTCGAGGGCATCTTCACACAGCATCACATTTTATCCAAAATGAGCTTTGAAAAACGCTACTCACAATTGGTTTATGATAGATAATTGGTAGTATTTAATAATATACACCACTGTAAATAGTCGAGTATTTTAAAAAGCATGAACTTCAGTAATGCTTTGAAGTCACTACAGTACATAAAAGAAAATAATTAAGAGAAATTTCAGTGTCTATCTGATCATCCATACACCAAAGCTGAGAAGAAGAAGAAGTCCATTCTGACCGAAACAAACACCAAAAGTAGACTCACTGGTTGCATCTTTTTCACCAACATCAACTGTAAGCGCGCCCGTTCCATACGTCAAGTTCATATTCTTGGCAGTTGCATCAGTAAAGTCCGCCTTCGAATTGCGATCCGTTGGTTGAAGGGTACGGGAGCGAGCCTTCTTTGATCGAAAGATGTCACCAAAACGCCGAGGAAGGGAGGAACTTTTGGGGGGAGGTTTGGATTTACTAGGCGATTTATCTGCCGATTCTGATTGAGGTTGCGTGGAGGGAGGTTCCTTGTTGAAGTGGTTAGGCATCGTATCATCCGGAGATGTCTGTGGTGGTACGCATTTTTCGCAATAGAATCGGTCATTCAGGGCGACCGTCTTCTCACCCGAGACGATAGTCCGACTAAAAAATTGGTGGAATTGCATGCGAGTTTGCACTTTAAATGAGGCGATTAATTTCAATTTCATGACCCAGTAAAAGGGGGTTGGGGAATTCTCAACTAATATTATGTAATTTTTTGACCAGCTTTATTTGCATAAAATTGAAAAAACAACAGCCTATTTGTTGTTTTCTTACTCCAAAATGCAAATAAACATTATTTTTTTTCAAATACAAACACATTCTAACTTTGGAACGAAAACAACGTCTGAAATTCCGTCAAAATGAATTAGAATTTTCCGTGATTCACCAAAAAGCGGAATTGTCTTGCGTTCTAACAAAATTTCGAATTTATTCAAAATGCAATTCACCTATAATTAACGAAACCTCTGGAGGAATATTTAGGTAGGAAGCTCTTATTAACTCATTACTCAAAGGTAAATAAACCAATAAGCTTCCAAATCGATATGCAGCAAAACTTCGACAAAAAATGAGCGCTCATGCATTGCGACTTTTTGTTGATGCCTTGATCGAAGGTTTGAAGCCCGCATTTTTCGAGCAGTACTCAACACCACGCCATTTTTCGCGCACTTTTGCATGGTCAACCACCAAGTCACCTCTGTACTCATGCTTCTCACAAAACCAAGTACGAATTGCAATCGACTCAAGTTTTCGGCCTGTTCTCACATGCTGAAAGCAAATATGTATTTCCCTCCAATCAAATTACCTTGAGTAATGATATATGCGGTGAGTAGTACTTGTCACTTCTGATCGACATCAAAGGTGGTAGAATTCGAGATTTTTGCCATAGAGACTCCAATGTACCACTCCCTTTTTTGCAAGATAAGTACTGCCAACAGCTAGCTTACTGGGTGAGAGAAGTTTAGAGTTTCATATCTCCATTTCATCTAACAATCATCTTCTGATTTTTCAAAGGCGTTTGCACAATTGCAATTGTAGGAAGACCGCATTTCAAAGATCTGGTCAATATTTTACTTCACATAAATAATATTTTAGGTGCAAAATAATTAAAATTGGAATTTTAATTTGTCTATTTCAAAAAGTGCAGCTTGAACAAATATTTTAAAAAAAAACTCCATGCTAGAGCGATCAAATCCAGTTCATTTAAACAAAATAAATCATTTTGATTAAAAATGTAAATTAACAAGCAGTTCTAATTTAAATTAAATTATGAATCAGAGCATTTAAACAAAGTTTTTGATTTCCAATTTTGGGAAATAATTTATAATTTCACTTGCGCATTGGAAGAAGATCTGAATATGCCGATAAGACGTCATACTTTTTTGCGGCTTTTTCGTCACAACGGAAGATCACAAAACGTAAAGCAGGGAATTTTAAATTTTGAATAAGAGGTAGGGAAGGAGTTTTATTTTCTCAAAGTAACCATCATTTTTACTGATATTAAAGTGAATGGAAATCGATTTTTATGCCCGATAGTGAGTAAACGCTGATGTTAACGCGATTGTCACCCAATTATTACTTCAATGCCCAATAAATTCGAAATGGTGGAATGAGTGGCCTGTCATACTGATTATAATCCAAGTTAATAATAAGAAAGGCACTTCGAGGTGTGAAATTATCATTACACAAAATGAGCGTCAGTGAGGAAACACTTAAATGAGGTTGGAAGTCGAGTCAGATGCACAAATCCTGGGAAAGAAGAGCTTAACAATCCACCAACACCTCTTCCACTGTTTTTTGCGTCGAGGCTGATCTTTTCCAATTCAAGGCCGCTTAAGTTAGTAGTTAGAATTGTTCGTGCCACTTCAAATTTCTAGAATGAGACAGACCTCGAAAGGCGTAAACATTCAAATAACCAAAAGACAGTGAACAAGGCAAGTAGGCGTCTCGATTTAATGTGAAAGGATTCAGAATAAGCATATCTCTCTGGCTAAATCATATTCTAGTTAAGATGGGGTGTGCGATAGACTTACTTCCACGTGGTACACCCTGGGCAACGTATGCTCATACGGCAAAAAAAGTCTATAAACCGGCAGTTGACTTCTGACTGCAAGCTACCATCATCCCACTGTATGCCATATTCGACCCCTTTCACAGTACTCATCTTACCCTTTCTGAGCCTTTGTGTCTGTCTCTTTTACATCTGTGAATCACTCGTCTGTTCCTCCTCCCGAATTCTTCTCACTTTGATGTTCCTCCTCCTTCCCTATGTGAAGCCCGAAGTCAACTAAAGGGCTAAAGATTACTATCAAAACGCCTGCCATGTGTTATAAATAAATATATTCTAGTGAAAGATATACTATCGAATGAAATTATAACATTACTAGTGACGTATAGAATAGACTCCAAGGTAATAATGTAATGTAGATGGTTACCGCAGATAGTCAAAGTGCATTAGATCAGGTCGATATGTTTCCACTTTGAGCAAATGGTAGAGGATTTTGCCATCAACAGTTCTGTCGATATTCCAACCAAAAGTTGTCAAGTAGAAGTAAATGATTTACTCAAATTGTTCTGGATGTCAATTCAAATCTGTTAGAAGTATTAAAGTCTCATACCATGTTTAGAAATGGCATAAAAATCACGTCAACTAATTTTTTTCCTTTCCTATATGAAGGCGAATGGTAGGAAGGATCTGACATCTACCAGGAACGCTGTTTTCCCATAATTGCCTTAGGTATTTAGATCCATTTGAGACCCCCTCCCCAATAGCGTTACCGTATTTTCAAGTTCATCGTGAAGATCAAGTCATTGTCCACCGCCAATCTCATTAACCCATTTCAATGAGAAAGAAAAAATAAGCCTCCAAGTCAATCAGCGCACAATTACGGACTGTGTGAAATAAGAAAAAAAAATATTGAATTCTTCCTTACGTCTCACAAAGTAGCGAGAAAAGCGAGAGAGTGAGAGAGAGTGAACATGGCGTAAACAAGCTTTGTCATGTTATCCCGTCGTCAATGAGAAAGGAGAAGACACGTAGAGATAAACAGTTTCTCAAAAGAAGAGGCATCCCCACATGACAGCACATGGATGACAATATCTCAGGAGAGTAAATAAAATTCTTTTCTCAAGCCAAGACGAAATAGCAAACAAGGACACACGCAGAGAAGTGGAGCATTTCACATCTTGAAAGAAACTAAAACGCCTTCATCACTAAGCCTTCATGGGGACTGATTTTAAATTTTTAAAAAAAACCCTTCTGAATAAACTTTAAAGAATGTGAATACTATTGAAGGCAATCGATGTTTTTGTGCGTTAAGGGAACACACTAGATAAATCATTCTAGCGAATGTCAATGTTATCGTCTCGAAAAATGTGAGTTTGAAAGAAAAAACAAAAAAAGGAGCTACACTGACAGAGGGGAAAATGTTTATCCCCTGCCAAGACGCTATCAGTAACTCCGGATCGTGGGTTAATGCATGTGCTGTGCTCTGCATAATCTCAGCAAATATAACCGGACACATGTAAGACCACCTGGATGCAAGAGTTATTAGAAGGAATACCCTTGAAAGCTCCAATCATATTCTAATTAATTAAATCGAAGTCTCCGTTTGCTACCTGCTCTAACCCAACAGAGACTCCAAATCGATTAAGTCTAAACCTGTCAACCGAATGAATAAACCCAACAAAAAAATCGATAAAATATTTATTCCCTTGATGTATAAGTTAATCTCGATCCTGTCTGAGTCCTCCCTATAGGGAAAGTAGGAAAATTACTTAATTACTCAACTTCTGGAGTAGTATTGACAACCTACTTAAGGAAAATGCGCTTATTAACAATAGAAGAGTGAGAGATGCCACGTGACAGCAATTTCGTTGTACAAGTTTGAGCTGCCAAGAATCTTAAATTACTCTTCGATCAGGTAATGGAATAATGCGTAATTGCATTAAATCGAAGATGGAGAGGTATTAATGTTAGCATAATAAAGTTTAAATAGGGCAAGATGCCAGGCAAGCACTTAAAGAAGATTTGATCCTCAAAATGTACATTTCCGATTTGAAGCTCCTGCACATTAAAAAAGAAACAAATAAATGTGTAGGTATTTTCATATACCCTGTTTGGTATAGCGCTAAGTTCAATCACCACCTTTAAAAACAACAAAATATTCTGTAGACGCTGCCAATAATAATAATAATATCAGGCGCACAAATAGATATGCGTTTCGCCACCAAAGAAAGTGCCTATGCATGGAGGTAGGGAGGGTGGGTAGGTGGGTGGGGAATTACCAGCTAAGAGGAAATTGCCCTCGTGTTTGGAGTTAATAATGGATAGATACCGCATCTTAGTTATTACCGAAATAAGATCAAAGAATGGAATATTTTGTCGATGAGGGAATAAATCTATTATATATAAACAAATAGCCAATAGCTGAGATAATATTATCCTCAAACTCGGTATTGGACAACTGCTTCACAACACGCATTTAAACACAATAATGACATTCTAAGAATTTTGTCCGTAATTAGAGCTAAAAAACTAGTATCAATTAAAAATTTTAAAATTGTAACTTTATCACGCTTTAATTTTTATTGCTGCAAACAAAGTGTCGAAATTGAATTACGCGGATGACTTTAAGCATTTGTTTAAATCAATAGTTGGGAAGAGTACGTGAGTGCACCTTGCATAAATAACCATTCGCTGGTTCATAGGTGCTTAATTGAGTTACTCTGATATTACTTCGATGTCTGGGTTCGGTGCCTGAGTAAACTGGGCACTTTACGCCACGACGCATTAATCCACTGGCAAATCCAAATTACTTAGTAGTGCTAATAGACTCAAAAGGATTTAAATTCGCCAATTCCACTACTTACTTTCAATAAGATTGCATACCAAACCGTTTGAACAAAATTTGACAGTTCCCAACTTAAGTTGTAGCTATAAAACGCGAACAGAATTTGGACATAAATTTGTTCCAACCAAATGGCTACTTTCACATTTTGTAGAGTAAGAAAAAAAGCGACCTGTTGAAATAGAAATGACTGAATTACTTGCGGGCCAATAAAAGATGGCTCACTTGAGTTTGCCGCAAAATTAGACTGCAGTCCAATTTAAACAACACAAATTTAAGTAGAGTTCCTGCTTCTCCCCACTCCTCCTCCTCCTCCTTCTAGCCAAGAGCACATATCTCATAGCTCCTTCCTCTGTTTTTCTTCTTCTCTTAAATAATGGAAAGGAGCGCGATTCCGCCTCTTCCATTGATGTGTGGAAATTGATTGATGGAAAAAGCCTCGCGATAATGCAATAATTCCTACGGTGAGAGGGAGTGGGGGAGGAAACCGGATGGCGGTTACTACCTGCTGAATTAGAAACTTCACATCGGAGGAGGGTGGGGTGGAATGTAATCTGGGTAGTAGGAGAAGCAGTAAAACTCTCGTGGGAGTCAAGGTAGAAATAGGAATAAAAGACATGCAAATTTTGAATATTGTGTGAGAGATTGCGAGAAACATGGCATTGATTCAACTCATTTTTTCCCATAGGAACAAGGGATCATATATCAAAATATTTGGCGTTTTTTTTTGGAAAAAATTGCTTAAACCCCCCGAGAGGATAATTCATTTACGCAAATTTATGAAAAGAGATCTCGTCGGTTGTTATATCATGTTTTTAGTAATATTATATTAATAATATAAGACTAACCTCCGCGTG